AAGACTGATTTAAGACATTTTAATACCAATTAAGGCCTTAGTTTTATTTTGAAGAATTCAATGCCTTTTAAGACTTTTTAAGGACCCGCGGGAACCCTGTAAGGTTTTTTTTATGCTCAACCCAAAGTTGCAGTGCCTATTTTTTTATGTAACCCTAAATTGCTTTGGGCATAAACATAGTGTGTAATAAATGACTTATTTGAATTTTTTTACAGTTACAGATAATAATAATTTTAAGAAAACTGTCTAAAATCAGTACAGAAACATGGGTATTTCCCAATAAGTCCCATTAGGTTCTCTAACTTGCCAATCCAGCTGTGTGAAAACTTCCCCTCAGTTTTACTCAAGTATTACTAGTGTCAGAGTCACAGCGGACCTGAGGAATTTAAATGTGCTCTTTTTTTGTTCGTTTTGAAGGCAGTCTGAATTTCTATGAACCTCTTGTGTGGCGCATCCTTCAGCAGAGGACTCTGGGGACTGGTGGCGATGTTGGCTAACTCTGCAAGCCAGTTGGTGTTAGGGGAGCAGCTGAGCTCCTGGTGGGACACGTGTCCAACCTGGAATAAGCTCTGAGACCTCTGGTCTTCCTCCACCTCCTGCAGTTCAGGCATATCATCTGAAGAAAAATCAGGAAACAATTCAGCCAAAACATCAGAGGAAAAAAAAAGGCAGAAAATAACACAGATTCTGTTGAACGAGCGTTTTACCGTATTCCATGTGGCAGCCAGGTGAGGAGGGCAGATCCTCGTTGCACTTGAGCGGATCAAAGGACTCGTCCATTTCAGAAATGTGTTTTTTCCTCTTATTTAATTTTTTCAAAAGCAATAGATTGTCAAGATGCTTACTTAGCTTCCATCTTTTGCAACTTCAACTGGTTTGGAAGACAAAAAAAAAAAAAAACATAAGTTAATGGAGGAATGTATTCAGCTACACTTCTGCTAGTAAATAATAATTACTAATTGCCTTTGAATAATTAAAATAATACATTTTGTTTTTATTTCAATTGCATTAAAATGTAATAATTTGGAATAAAGCTGCTTTTTTAAACCAAATACAGGCTTTTTTTTTCTCCTTGCACCTAGAAATGAAATTGCCTGGTTACAATCTGTAATCACTTGGCTGGAAAACTCAACAATCTGTATTTCATTATAAAGTGAATTAGAGCTGAAACAATTAATCGGCTTAATCGTGATTAATCGATGATTGAAATAATCTTCAACTAATTTAGTAATCAATTTATTGTGAACTGGAGTATAGAGCCCTGACAGAGTGACCTAATTTGAGCAGTAATTATATCAAAATTGTAAAAATAATATATAATAATTTTTAATTTAAGATAAACAACCTTTTTGTCGGTCAATATGTCCTATCCAGAACCCCTCAAGTGGAAAATCTTAGTTTCAACTGGTTTAATTTAGTAAAAAATCTTCTTTAAGGAACATTTGGCCATCAGATTATTAATCGATTAATCGAAAAAAATAATTGGCAGATTAATCGATTAGCAAAATAATCATTAGTTGCAGCCCATAGAGATGTAAGAATCCTTTATTTTCTTTTTCAAAATGTATTTCCTATAACAGGTAACGGCATGTCTGAGTTGAAGGCCAGACAATCAGCAAATAACAGGAAAGCTGAACACAGTAAAGGAGTTTTTATTCTTTTTCTTTATATCAAACTGAGGTACAGACTCTTATTCAATGATGCTAACCGTGTTACCTGCTATTAGATAATACTGTAGGGTTAGAGTGTCTGTTTTTGTTTTAAAAAGATCTTAAAATGACTGTTGCCAAAAATAACCTAAAACTGCCAATGGCGGAAACGCTAGAGAACTTTTTCTTAATACTGTTGTAATATTGTGACTAGAGATGTCCCGATCCAGGTTTTTGCACTTCCGATCCGAT